TACTATTTTTCTTTCGTTTGATTTTTTGTCCTATAGAATTTTTATCAAACAAGGTTTTAACGAGACATATATTTTGTAATGTGTCATTAAAGGGGAGTGTTGTAAAAGGAAAGTAAATTAGGGTTTAGTGTTAATGACACTTGTACCCTTGCAGCCCTAAATATAATTACCATACGTATCCCTATTCCTTCCCTATAAATCTAGGACTTTGGTTTTTATTATAATATACACATGTTTATTGACTTCTCTTATTCTCTTCTATTTTTCTCTCTTTTCATAACAATGTTTAGTATTTACACTAAAATTCTATATCAAAGTTCATATGATTAATCCTTTTTTTTTTTTCACTATGCCGTTTCAAGATTTCAATTTCGATTATTAAAATTAATAGATTACATCTATGCTAATTAGTATCATCCATTGATTAATAGGATGTATTACTTAGAAAACTTCTCCTAGAAGCTATTGGTTTGGTCTCAAGATTTTTGCATCACGGGCCAGTTTTACGAAGTCTTCTAAATTTGATCACATTTCAAGTATACCACTCCATTTTGCCTCGAAATCAAGATTGCTAAAAAATAAATAAAGTTTAGGGTGTTACAAGTTGTTCATTATAAAGTAAATTACAACAAACTTGAATGACTTGACATTTGAATATCAAAATATATAGAGAACTAACTTATTACATTATACAACGAAAATATAGAGAGGACCTTGATAAGTGTATTTTATACACTTATTCGGAGTCCAAAATAGCGATATTTGATATTTTTTGACAAAATATATCTTAAATTGTTATATTTTGTGTGTTTATAGGTAAAACTCAATGATTGAACGAAAAATCGAAAGAAAGAAGGGAAAAATTGTGAAAATGGCAAAATTCAAAATTTGAGGACCAAACTGCAATTCAATAGTTGATTCGGATCACAAGATGATACTTTGAAGATTGCTAGGAGAAAATCGGATAGAATTATAATTCAAAAAAGAATTGGATATGATCAAAATATTATCAAAATCAATTTTCAATCGCACAAATTATATTCCAGATTTTTAATCGAAAATTGAGATTCATGTTTGGCATAGTAAACGCCAGAATTGGAAAAATTCTATTTCTATGAAACTTGTAACCCTTTGAGCTAGCTTTCTAACGCACTTTGAATCCCCTCAATTGGATATTGAAACAGAAGTTATGACCAAAATACTGACTGCTATGCAAAGACAAAAAAATCCGCGCGTGAATGGAACTTTCCTTATTGGAACTATTTTGGAAACCAATTTGGACGTAATTTTCAACCAATTTTCTACCCCTACAAATATTTAACAACTGAATACATATGAAGAACATCTCATATACATATTATTCTCCAATATTCATAAATTATTATCATCAAAGGAGACCTAGAGGACGAAATTTTCAAGATTGGAGAGCATAGAATGAGGCAAAAACATGTTTTTGAATGATGAACCTTGTCATTAGATGTTTTGATCTTTGATTTTATATATTTGACGCAAAAACATGTTTTTGAATTATAGAATAATTTATATGAATATATTGCCTCCATGATTATAGTGCAGATAATTATGTGAGTTTGGTGATTTCTT